TTGCTCTTCCTGATGTTGCCTGGCCGGCCTCTGCCGATCCAGACCTCCGCTATCTTCAGGAAGCGCCCGCGGGAGCTCTGCTTCACGTCCAGGTAAAAGTTCTTCTTCTGGATGTCCACCCTCTTGGAGGCCAGCTCCTGGATCTCCATGCAGCCCCCCTGCGAGGAGGCTGCGTAGTGGTACTGCTGCTGGGGCTGCGAGTAAACGCTCCTGTGCAGGCCCGAGCCGCCCAGGTTCCTTCCTCCTCCTCCTCCTCCTCCTCTCCCTCTTTCCATCTTTACCGATCAGCTGGAGGTAACACACAGCAGAGACACGGGGGCAGCATCAGCACCGGGGCCTGCCCGGCGCCGCGGCGGCTCCGCGTCCTCCCCAAGTGCTAGTTATTCTGAGATTGCTTTGGCTAGTTTTCCAACCATTATAGGATGAATTTCATCTGGCCACCTGGTCCGAAAGCATTCAACTAAGGACTTAGAGACCTAATATTTTCATTCTTCAGAATGACATTGTACCCACTTCCCATTAGTTCTAGTCACAAGTAAGTGACAAACATTTTGTGACTTCTTGGTATCACTGGTAGACAGTTTTTTCCTTTTCCCTGAACAGAAGGCCCATCCTTTTACTGTCTTCCCCATAGTGCCTATGCATTGCTGTAATGGTCTTGCTACTTTATGTCTCTGACTTATTATAGCTTGCTTTGTGCCCTGGCAGCTGCAACTGTGCTGGTATTAACTCGGTCATTACTAAGATTGGAAGGAAATAAGAAATAAAAACCTCTTATGAAACCCTTGCAATTACGAGGTCCACCACCCTCAATATGATTGTAATGGAAGACTGAAAAGTCCTTCTAGATCATTTCCCTGCCCTGATCCCCTTGGTCAAGCTTAACTGTTTCCTGCTTAACAGGTATTTGTCTGGATGTTAACTCCCAACAACAGAGATCCTACAGACTTTCCCAGGATTTCTTAGCATTAAGAAGTTTTCCTAAGCTATATTAGTTATCTAAGTCAAACCGCCATGCTGCAATTTAAGCATATTCCTCCGGTGCGCGGCGCAGGGGCAGCAGAAGGGCTCCCGCTGCGGCGGGTCCTGCAGGGCTCGTCGTGGTGGTTGCGCCGCGCTCCGCTGCCCCGGGGGCTCGCGGGTCTACCCCCGCCTCGGGTGTCGGCCCCAGGTCCGAAGGGGGGTCCCAGCTCGCCCGGCTGCGGAGCCCGGTATGTAGAAGAGCAAGCGAAGAGACGCTCCGGGGGCAGCTGCGAGGCCGCGGGGCTGATTCATGTTTCTCACTCGTTACGTTTGGGGTCAGGTAATGGCTGGGCGCCAGAAAGGAGGTTTCCTGGGAGTGCGAGGGGGCCGAGCTTTTGGGGTGAAACTGGCATCTTCAGGGTGTGTGCTCTTCCAGTGCACTGCTGTAACCGAAGGTGCCAGTTAATGGTGCTGTTAAGTGAGTAGTAGGTCCCTGTGGCAGAAAGCTGCAAATCCATCTGCTCCAGGGGAGGTTCATATGTTCCGAACGGTTGTGTTGAGCAGAGATGGCAGTGGGTAGGGCTGTGCATCTGGGCTGGTGCTCTAAGTGAAACGAAACCGAATCTTCTTCCCTCCGTGGGGCTTTCAGAGACTTCTCTCTTTGTTTTAATTTGTTTGATTCCCATTTACTTCTGTATCGTGTAATGCATTTCCATGGGTTAGTGTGGGAGCTCTGTAGATCTCCTTCCTTGTTCACAGGGTGTTTAAGGTTGCAGTGTGATCCTAGATTTTTTTTTCCAGCCTAAAAATTGAAAGAGTTATAAGTTGTCTCTGTACAAATTACAGACTCTTTGAATTTTTTGTTCTCTTATGAAGAAAAGTAACAGGCATGTGAGAAAATGAATGAAATGGATTTGCTAACTACTGCTCTGCAGAATAAATATCCTCATTGGATGCTTGCACAGAACCAAGAGGAAATTCTGGCTGATAAAAAGGTATGCCGTCACATTAAGGAATAATATGTAGCCTGTTTTAAGCTGCACAGTAAAACAACATTGGCCTGTACCTATGTAGTTAGAACTACATAGATTTCTCATGTTGGGATGTTTGCAGCCAATAATTACCCTTAGGCACTTCTGAACAGTTTATTTCTATGACTTGTCCGGTCATCAGTTTGAGCAGTTTAAGTATAAAACTTCCATTAAAGGCAAATCTGTAAGTTCTTAAGAAGCATTAAGGAAAGGATTCTTTGTGTAAACCTGAAATAGTCAATATCTTTGCTTTTGGTTTCAGAATCTCCCTCTTCTAGGCTGTTGATCACTTCTGAAGCTGTGCTAATAAACACTTTTATGCAAGGAGCCTGCTTTTGCTTGACAGGCTTTCTTCTGATCTTTAACTAGAATATGATAAATGTTACTTATTAAGATTTACTGCTGTCATCTTAGCTCTCTGCATGTTTGTTATCAACATGCAGGTTCTGTGGGCAGGTGAGTATTTCAAGATATTGCAGGTGTTTTAGAGTTGGAATAAGTTCCCAAGTCCATCTCTGTTGGGTAATTAGACTCCCGAGAAGAATCAGCATCGACTGGAAAGTTCAATGTCACATTTTCCTGCATGCTTAAGCTTTAAAACTGTAAACAAGAACTCAGTTGACAGAGTTAGTCTGTTTAAATACTGCCTGTCATTTTAAAACTGTGGATTTTACTGCACAACAGACTTCTAGCTGGCAGTATCATGTATATAGTGAAATGTGCTGGCAGATGCATGGGACCAAGGAAACAGGGTTCTTTCTAACAGCAGCTTATCCACAGACGTCGTAGCTCTTTGCTGCTTCTAACCTCTCTTCTTTGCAAAACGTGGTCTAAAAAGAGCGTGAATGGCGTTGCAGAGCTGAGTACCCAGAAGATGGCAAATGATTTGGCTGAGAATTGGGAATACCTCAATTTTATTCTCGCAGAGCAGTGCAGTTTATTTTGGGGATAGTTGGACATGTGAGGTTCTGCTTTCAGCTGAATTTGTGCTCTGAATGGAGGGGCTTCAGGCTTATAGCCTGATTGAATCTAAATGAATTTCACAATGACCTTCAAAGGCTGCTGCTTGACAAATTTCTGAGCTGGGAAGGTGCTACCGCATTTCAAGTAGTGCTGAGGTTTTTTTAACACCATCAAAATTGTGCTTTTTTTTTTTTTTTCCTCTCCCCAAGTTTGTTTTAAAAATGATTTGAATCCATTTGGCTGGAATAATCCAAAAAGGGTCAGCTGAGGGGCAAATTCAGTCCGTGCTTTCAGTCTCAAGTATGTGGAGTTTAACAAATAAATCGAGGAGTCAACCCAAAGTTTTTGATAGGAAGCGTTAGCCCATTGCTAGTGGTAGTAGCCTTGCATGTGGAGTGTGGTTTTGCAGTGATGAGTCCCAGAATTGCTGGGATATGACTTTGACATCATATATAATGGTTGCAGTGCTGATGCCTCTGTTTTGTGGCCTAAAACAGACCTTCTTCCAAATATTTTTCTGCAGAAGCTTAATATTCACAGGAGTCTTCTGGAGGACGGGCTGCCCTTCCTAGAGTTCTGCGGCTCTGTTGTTTACAGCTACGATGCCAGCGACTGTTCCCTTCTTTCTGAAGATATCAGGTAACGGCTCTTCTGTTTTGTTGTTCTTTTTTTTTCTTTTCTTTTTTTTTCCCCCCTCCCTTTCTGAAAAGGACTTGGCTCTTCTCTTGGTCTGCTTCTACTGGCTGAGATTGTGCCTTTTGTGTCCCAGAGGTCAGCCAGAGAAAATCTCTGGTCATAATGACTATCCTGTTTCGGTTGGCAAAGCACAGTGGCAGCAAGTGCAAAGGGCAGCTATTGCTCCTGACAACCAGTTATCCCTGTCAGGGGTATCCCTCACTCATCTACAGGGAGGAGACTTTTCAGAATACATCTGTGTGTGGTGCTGTGTGCTCGTAGTTTTGCATTTGGACTTTTCCTGGAGATGCTGTGGTTAAACCCTGCGCTTGCTTTAAATGAAGTCATGCAGTGCAAGCTCTGATGCAGCTCTATTGTAGGTGATATGTATAGTTCCTTGATTTTCCATGACTTAATTGGGAAATGGGAACTAAATTAAATCAAGAGCATGTGTGAACTGTGAACACACACACTGGGGAAAGGATGTTTGAAGAAATCCTAATTCATGATGCTAACACACCATTTTGTTTTTTGATAGCACAGCTCATCTTTCTGGGTAATTATTCAATTCTGAAATTTTCAGTGCAGCAGGATAAATAAAAAGCAAACTTTCAAAGGGAAAATAAACTCTTCCTTCTCATTTTCGGTATGGTTATTTTATGTAGTACTGTCAGAAATCAAGCTGGTTCGACAGGTTTTATGCAGCTTTTTGGAGAAGCAACAATTCAGCCTGCTGTACAAGGTTGTATGCTGAAAACCATCATGAAGTCATTTCTGTGTGCCATACCTGTGAAAGGAAGAATATACTGCAAAGATACAAACCTCTTTATTTATGACTAAAGTCTGGTATCTTAAGCGCTGATGGGAGGGCAGCTAAATGTGCAAAATGTCGATCTCTTTTCAGGGGGAGTTTAGCTGATGGGGCTGCTGTTGGATTTGATATTGAATGGCCACCGTCCTATACTAAAGGAAAAATGGCAAAAGTAGCTCTAATCCAAATATGTGTGACTGAGGAGAAATGTTACTTGTTTCACATCTCTTCCATGTCAGGTACTGTAATTTCTGTATTCCTCTCAGTTTGGGCATGAGTTACCATGTTGCATGTTAGTTGATCTGAGCTTTGGCTTTGAGCAGTAACAAATATTTACATTACCTTTGATGGGGGGGAGGGGATGAAATCACCTCTCCCTCCTGTCCCTTATAATAGAGGAGAGTTGAATAAAAGCTTCCCAAAAGGAATAGGGATAAGCCAATGCTATTTTAAACTCTTTGGTTTGTTAAATTGAAAAGATGCCTCTGAAATGTCTGATTTCCCCAGGGTGTATATGCTGAGGTATAATAGTGATAGTTTAATGGTGATGTGCAATCCTTTGTCATTTAGAGCAGATGGGGTGGAAAACTTAATTAGTGGAGACTATTCAATCTAGGAGACAGTAAGGTATGAGTGCACAAGAGATTTGAGGAAAAGGAAGCAATGGAAAGAAGAGACAGCCTTATCCAGCATCAACAAAAAGACAATTTTGGCTTTGGAATACAAAGCATTTCTGTGTCTTTCACATGAGCAGCCGCTGAGCGCGTGACAGCCAAAGGCAGAGCTTCTGCCCGGGTCACGTTCTGAGCTTCTGTTCGTGGCAGTGGGGGGTGCACTTTGAACTGATCTTGTGTCATGAGCCATAGCCAATTTCTGATGATTCAGAGTTGTGGTGTCTGTTGTTGGGTTTTTTTTTTTTTTTTTGACTTACAAGACTATTAATGCTGGCCCATCTAGTCAAATGGACAAGGCTTACAACATTGTGCTGCAAATATGTATTTTAATATCTTATTAAACACTCTTAATGTGAGGAGTGTATATATAGTCTTAACAACTTTTCTTCCAGTTATTTTTAGTAAAATTCTTTGCAGTTTTCCATTTCTTAGTCACTGTTTTCCTTTAAAAAGTTTTTTTTTTCCCCCCTGTTTCTCAGGTTGCCACCTCTCTGTAGTATTGAAGTTGGACCTTTGTCGTTCATATACTTTTTGTTTGTTGCCCGTTGGGAAGTTTCTATCCTTCAAAATTTTCATCGTGACATTCTTGGATGAAAAGCTCCTTATCAGGAAGTTAGTTAGTCAGTTACTCATATGTTAGTGACATATGTTAGTTAGCTAGTTACTCACTCATATGTTAGTGACATATACTACACGCCTTAATTTAGCGCCACCATAAGTGTCTCCCCTTCAGAGGGTCCTCCAGTTTGCTTTGGTTGAGGTGCTACGGCAGTGTCATCACTAAGGTGGCCAGCATTTTGGAGCCACAGATTCCCATGATAATTCTCTAAGTTGGTACCAAATGTCAGTCAAGGCCATGAAAGATGGAGATTATTGTGTAAAATGGAATCAGTGACATATGGTGATTGCTGATCTATATAAATGTTTATTATGTTGTTGAAAAGGAAAAGTCTGAAGGCAAAACCAACCAAGTCCCTAAGTGCTTTGTATTTGTGAAATGCTGAACATTTGTAGGTACTGGAATTCACTTTGGGACTAATTCAGTATATCCAGCTGCAGTTTTCTGGAGATGTATGTCTAAATAAGAAGCTGTGAATTTTAAAACACTGATGAAATCAGGAGTGGTGGGCAGAAATAGCAACTTTCAGTTTGCTATCAAGTACTTTCATTGTCTTAAAAAATCTTCAACTTAAAAATGCCTTTTGATCTGGGATTGCCATGAGAGCAATTTGGACTGATTATTATTTTGAATGACTTATCTGGGCTAGGTGAAGGATCTGATTGCCTACTGTGTGTTTTAAACTTAAAGGTACTGCTTTTTTGGACGAGCTCAGTGCTAGGACTGAGAACATACCACAAAGTCTGTTCTCCTCGTAATTGCTTGTGCTTATGATACGAAGTGTTTCCACTAGACACAGAACACCAATAATTTGGAACAATTATCATGTAGCAAATAGTAAAACAGTATTGTATTTGGTTTCATGTGCATCCAATTTCTTAGATTATAATGTGGGTTTTTTTTTCCCTAGAGACATTGTCTTTTTGTTATCTGGTTTGAAGGAGAGTTATACAAATGAAACGGAAGTCTCAAGAAGACTTGCTCTCAGGCACAAAATGAATGTGAATATTTTCAATATTTCTTTTCTACCTGTTGATACTTCAGCCAACTGATTTTGCATCACTCCATAGTAGTACAAACTGAACTGTATACACATCACAGCTTTTTGGAGTTTCCCTTTTTACCAGGGAGGGGAGGGAAAAAAAAAAGGCACGGGCTTTCACAGGTGGTATTGTGCTAAGATTTTAATATTTGCATTAGAATATCTGTCAGTTTTCAGCATCTAGTTTCTAAAGTTTGGGCTTAATCTATTTTAGGTTTTCCCAAGGGACTCCAAAGACTGCTTGAGGATGAAACAATTAAAAAGGTTGGCGTAGGAATTGAGGGAGATCAATGGAAGCTGATGAGTGACTTTGAAATCAAAATGAAGAGTTTGGTGGAGCTGTCTGACCTTGCTAATGAGAAAGTAAAACTTCAACTGTTTTTTTTTTTTCCTTTCTTTTTTTTTCCTGTTTTGGGAGGGCTACTTTTTCAGTTGTGCAAAAGGAAGCTTATTGTCTTTGCAGGTGTGCAGTTCTGATAGCAAGCAGGTTCTGAAGAAAACTAAGAGATGTATTAAAAGTTATTGGGGGAGGAGAGAAGCTTGAGGATCTCTCAAGAAAGTGTGCAGAATTAAATACTGTTACAGTGGACTAGGTTTTTAACAGACCCTTCCTCCCCCTCTGTTCTGTTCACCTCTTTCATTTAGAAGGTAGAGCATTTTTAACTTGGCTGCAGATGTATTTTTTATCATTTTTTTTCCTGACCTCATACAGTGCAGTAATTTGTCAGTGTTCTGATTTTAATGCTGTACGTTTCTCAGCAGTACCGTGAACCTTTAGAATTAAATGACAGAAATGCAGTAGAGACAGTGAATGGCTGATGCCTCCAGAAGGGAGTCCCCCTTTCTGCTACCACTTACCTGGTGCAGGGAGTCTGGTCTTCCAGCAAGCCCTCAATGCAAGGGACTAGACAATCTAGGGATGTAGGGATGTCTTCCTTTCCATGACTCCTAAGTTTGTGGTATGTCCTCTCACGTGAGAGAGGTTTCCATGGTCTGGCTATTTACTGTTTAGAAACAGTTATATTTTTTTATGTTCTGAATTCAAATGTAGCTACATTTCTGTGCCCGTTTATTAGGGAGGAGGGCCAAGAGCTCATTACTTTGCAAATCATCCTTATGATTCATATTTCTATTGTGTTCCTCAAAGATTTTCTGCCTTTTGTGTGTACAAAATTCTGTACCTGTACTCAGTCTCTCAGCAGTAAACTTTTTTTTTTTTTTTTTTTTTTTTGATAATAGGACCAGTCATATTTTCCTGGTAGACAACAGCGTAAAGTTGTGATGCCACACGGCTTCATTAGGCTTGACAGATGTCCATGTTTTGAAAATACTCTCAGGTTAGAGTATTGGAGGACCACATTGTGAGTCTCTCATCCTCAGTCAGAAGGGGGATTTCCTAAACTGCTTCTAGGAAAGCCAATTAAGACAACAGGCTCTGACGACTTTGAATGACACTTATGATTAGAAAAACAACAGAAAACAACAGTGCATTGGGGTGGTTTCTAGAGTCTTCCAGTGAACTTGTCCACAATAGGCTGAGTAGGTGTTAGCGTGGAATACAATTGTATTCTTTACACCTTGCACTTGGTTTCTCAGGCATGCAAATGATGACCAAAGCCATTGCAAACACTGATATTTCATTTTTCTTAAATGTTTTGGACTTTTAAAAATATTAAATGTAGGTAATTGAACAATGTTCAAGGAAGGAGGGCTTTGTTTTTCAAGGGAGATAAAAACCAAGAGACAAAACTTGGGCTACACTATAAAGAGAAACATCTTATTTTGGTTGTGTGACAATGCCCTCTCATGGTGCATGCACTTATCTGGTCCTAGTGTGGTCTTTCCAGATTGACAGCATAGAGATATCCTAAAAATACAGTTTTAGGGCAGGAAAGTAGAGATTTCTAGTGGCCAAACTACCTCTTAGTATGTTAAGAGCAGATTTAGGCTTGAAGAACGGTCACTCTGCTGAAGAACTAGTTTGTACGGACTAATACAGAGCTCTGCCCCTAATCAATATGCTCAGCTACTTTTAGGAGCATATTTTACTAAGCACGATTGTTTCACGCTTTAAACAAGTCATCTTTGTTTTCAGCTGAAGTGTAAGGAAATATGGAGTCTAAATGGACTGGTAAAACACCTTTTTGGCAAGCAACTTCTGAAAGATAAGTCTGTCCGCTGTAGTAAATGGGAAGAATTTCCATTGAATGAGAAGCAGAAATTGTATGCAGCCACAGATGCTTATGTACGTACAAAGAATTTGCCATTCTTTTCTTATTTAAATTTTTCTTTCCTCATGTGCCTTTTGCTGCTTTTTTTTATTGCCTTTCTGCTACAGAACATAGCAAACATGAAGATTATGGTCATCTGTGGATACGGCATATTTACAAGTTGTCCAATACCTCTTCTGCCTGAAATGGCATTTTGAACTCTGGTGTTAATTCGGAGCTGTCATAAGATCTTAAACAAAGATTTATTTTATTGCTTGTACTTGATTCAATAATCTCTGGTTTGCTGAAATGACTTGAATAGGGTATTGTGTGGACAGTTTGGATATAAAATTGAGCATTGCTTGGGAAAAAGATATTCTATACCAAAATAGTCCCGAGCCTACAATGAATTCCTCTTTTCTTTCTGCTCTATGGTGTTGCAAGACTTTTTTTTTTTTTCCAGTAAAGTCTGTGCATGAACCAGATCTCCTGGAGGTTCTGCTGCCTCTGTACTTGTCAAGTGACAGTTAGCCACTCCTCTGGCACACTTCTTGCTTTTTTCCTTTGGACTGTGACCTCTGCATTTTAATGGAGCAGTGAGGTGGAATTTATGTGCATGTCTGTGCAATTAGCACAGAGTTTGGCAGATAAACTCAGCTCTTGCAGAGTGACTATCCTACATACAAGTAATAGAGTTGACAAGTGTATGCAAAAAGTTCTAAAAAAAACACTTGTAGTGTTTCTTGAATTCTGTTGTCTGCAGATGTTCACTATAGCTTGTTAGTGCTTTCGAAAGTGTTCTCCTAAGGGGTTTTTGCTTGCCTTTTTGAGCTTATGAGCTGATATCTAATCTCCTCAGCCCCTTTTAAATGTATGTGAAATAATAAGCAAATTCTGAGAAGCATAACTTTCTCCAGTAGACACAACAGAACCATAGTGTAACTTAAAAGGAAGAGTAATTATTACACTTATATATGTGTGGGGTTTTTTTTTTTGATTGTTTTTGTTGTTGTTTGTTTAAACTCTGTAGAAGATTCTGCTGTTCGGAAAGCGGTTAAGTTTTCTGTGCACTGTGAAGGGATTTATTAATGTACAGCTGACTGCTGTCTGCTCCCTGTGAGGAAAATATTCTTTATGGGACCACTTGAATATTGCACTTGGATTTTTTTATTTCTGTAATCAGACTAGGCAACGTGGCCCCAATTTTCCTCGTTTTCTTTTGTGGCTCTGAAAACATGCATTTCTATTCTAGTTAAGTTTTGAATTGTGGAGGGATTAGGCCGCTAGAGGTGCAGGACCCAAACCAGTGCAAAAAGGGGCTTTGTGTTCTCCAAGCTGTCAGGTGCAGCTGCTTTTCCCAGGCAATGTCTGCTTCTCACTGTGCTCTGCTCACCTGGCCTGCCTTTTGCAGTCTCCCAGGAAAGCATGGGGGAGCAACTTATTTCTCCTTCCTCTTGAAGATGTTTTGATTAATATGTGCAGCCTAATTAGCACATTCTTGGGTTTAGGCTGCTTCCCACTGTTAGAACTCTTATTCATATCAAGGGAAATATTAAATACGTGGAATCTGCCTTAGTAGCTTCGTAAGTATTCTCTTGGAGCGTTATATAAAAGCTGAATGAGATGGAGCAGATGGTAAGATGGGGAATGGAGTCGTCACAAGGTAATGAAACTGGGACCTTGTCTTAAAAATATCCGCTATAGTTTGGTCCTGGAGCTGGGGCTTCACCTTTGTGAAAGGTTCTGCAGTATGTTACATGGTTGTGATTGCTGTGACTCAATGCTTTACTCTTGAATCTTGAGTCATGTCATACAACTGTATTCCTAAGAAATTAATGTTCTAGCTTGCCAAACTAATTTTCATTGTCTTTTTGTTTAGTCTTTAAAATGTGCTTTCTCCGCAGAGTCCCAGTGACTGAATTTTGTTTGCTTTCCTCTGCAGGCTGGCTTCATCGTTTATCAAAAACTGAAAAACATGAACAGCAGTGACCAGAAAATACTTTGTGTAAGACAAGGTAAATGATACATTTAAGCATAAGTACAACTGAACATTGTTTTCCTTTTAAGTGTGTGTGTGTGTGTGTGTGTGTATATATATATATATATTTTTATTCCTTCCCTATGCTATCCTTGTGTCAGGATAGGGTCTGTCTTGAGAGAGCAGACAGTGAAGGCTGTTAGAATACCTGTGTTACATAGTGTGGACTCTTTCCTGCAGTGATGTCTTGATGTGCTGTTTTTCTGGTAACAATTTCTGCTCTCATCATGTATGTTGACAGGATCACTTTAGTAAGTTGATACCAATTCTGCTGAA